AGCACCTATTTGCAGACAAGTGTTTAATGCATCTATTTCCTGAAGGCTGGGTCTTCACCGAGAAATGACTGTCCTGACCTGTGATTCATCCTCACCACATGACAAACTGTCAAACACAACCACCTCTGCTCATGTGAAATGCTGAGTAAATTAACTTTTACCTCAAGGCCATTTCCTAACATAATACGATTTCCAAAGTCTGGCTTAGAACATCTTGCTGGGGAGCCAGTGAACTATTTCCACTGTTGGTCCTTTATAGTCAGATGTTTGCATGTAAGAGACTAAATTACTAATATCAGCAAAATAGCACTTTAAATCAAATGTAAACCCATTTCTGCAACATGCATGTTAACAGCTTGGACTCAGCTAGCAAACTATGAAGTACAACTCCTGCCTCTCACTGCCTCTTCCTTGCACTAAATCCAGTATTTGATGAACTTTCTATCAGCTGTTGTGATGACTGAACAGGCAGCAAAACACCCATGTCTTTGGTCCTACAAGGTCAGTAGGTGAGAAGTAGAAGGTGAGCTAGTAGAAATACACAAATCTCTATGAATATTGTACATCAGGTGAGTCCACTATAGCAATCAAATGAACCAACTTGGTCTCACTCTGAAGAGTGTAGTCAGACTGAAAGGGATCAAGATTTTTCCCAGGTCAAAAAATTACTTTCCCCTCATAAATCCCATGATATTTAAAATACAACTAAGGAAAATCTACTTTAGCCTAATCCTGTTTAAACCTAGTCTGACCTGGTCTCCCAGAGGCATTATCAAAGTCAAATGGTCTGGTGCACAAATTGTTTCACAGGCTCCCTTGAGAACCCAGGGCATATTCACCATGTGCCCAACTTCTTTCTCACCTATTAAAGTAAACTTCAGATCTACTGTAAAAATGCTGTCTTCTTCAGGAAAATCCTGATCAGCAAATGAAGCATGTTGGGTGGGTTTTAAACAATATAAATGTACGCTGTGGTATAAGAGTAGATAAACAGGAATGAGGAACAGTAAATTAAATTACTTTTCATCAGATCTTACAATGCTATAGTCTCGGTGGTATTACAAGTGAAGTTTCACAGTGGGACTTGATCCTGTCTCACTATACTGCGAAATCACTAATCACACAAAACTATTACAGAGGGGTGCTGCCTCTGAAGATGAAAGGTCTAAGCTATAGGGAGCATTTCTCTATCAAAGTATTTGCTGTGCAGTTCAACAAGCACCTTGCGCTTCTAACACCTTTCTCACAGAAGAGTGTACCAGCAAGTGAATAACCATCACTAGACTTTCAGAAAATAAATTAACTACATGTAAAGATCACCGTCAATGAAATCTGAACCTGCAATCAACCAAAAAGAAGTCCAAAGATACATCTCTAAATATGAACAGCTAACATTTAGTGATGCATTTCAGACACTGGAGAAAGAGGCTGAGATACCCATAGTTGCAGTGAGAAAATGAAGCTGAAAGCTTCATTCTGGGAGCAGCCATACAGAATAATGGCTTCACTTTATCCTTTAGGTCACATTTCTTCCATTTATATTGGTTTCATTATTGTACCACCAGAAGGCATTAAGAGGAACCTGGAAATGAATGAACCCAGAAGAGCAGGTTGAAAGTGACTTACCATCAACAGTGTTCACAGTCCTGTCAAAATAACCTCAGGAACCCAACAAAATCGCAAACCAAACCATTTTAAAACTTGATTTTTCCCCTAAGAGTGAGGCATGCTGCAACGGGTATGGAGAAGGATAAAACCAACTCAGATGCAACTGCATTTTGAAGTAGCTTATCAAGTGAGGCAGCAGGCAGCCAAGGTGTCTTGTGTCCAACCAGTTAACTGGATTTGGCTATTATGCGATTAGTCAATGACACTAACTCTTTCATTTGATTTAAACATTTTTCATGAACACTGCAGCCTTGGTGGTTCATTTAGCAAACACAGCCCCAGCCTATAATGAGAATCCTGCGGAACAGTGTTGCATGGCCGTTAACACTAAGTAGGCAAGTATTTAAAAAAGTGAAGATTACTCAAACAGGTTTTAGTTTAATTTAGCTGCTTTCATTTACTCATTTGTTTGTATGTTCCATTTTGTTCCTTAACTATATAAAGTCCTCATCATCTGACAGACTTGTTTGGGACAGAGGAAGACTCTTCCCAGAATAGAGTGTTTATGTATAAGCTAAAAACATCTGTGTCTTACTTAACAGCCAAACGGTGAACGAGGATCAGTGTTATGTGATCATGTTTCTTTCTTGGAAGATGTACCATAGTGTTTGCTCCAAAGATTAAATACCCCCTCCTGCATCCAGTTTGTCAATACCTACTGTTGTTAAACAGCCTTCCCCTCCTCCAAGTGGTTAGTGAGCCATAGAAGAATTAAGGCTCCTGAATGATTATAGACACTACAATAAATTATTAACACAACAAAGCTCAGTAGAGCTGGCAGACCTACTTTTCATTAGACTCACATGGCATTTATGGGCAATTTACATATGATAAAGTTTATGATTTTACAGGACAATGAGAGATTTTTTATTTCATACTTTCCTCCACAATTAAATTTATTTTTTTTCCAAAAAATGAGATCATTTATTTAAATATGTCTTACGAAGTACAACCTTTGTTCAGATGAAAAGCAGTGAGATTGAGGCCATCATAATGATTAAGTACCAGTACTATACTACCTATCCTAAAACACCAGCCACAACAGTATCAAAAAACCAGACACGTTCTCCTCAAATAACCTTTTTAGGTTTCAAAGGAAAAAAAAAGGGGAGTGAGGCATTTTAAGCTGCAATGGAAAAGCTGATTTAATACAAAAGGCAGAAAAACTGCAGTTTTAGTGCTTTAATGCATTTTCATGATCAAGTCATAAAATTCACCCTGAATGAAGTTTCCAAGCATTCCTGTGTTCCCTTATTGGAGGCGTATACAGCGGCTACAGTAGTAACTTATCATGCAAACATCATCTGACTGGTGGGATGCACATTATTGATTTCAGATATAGGCAATTTTTATGCATTATCAAGCAGTCCAAGATGTCTTCCTCCAAAGCAACATATACAGTATCCTCTGTCCTTCTCTCCCACTGATAAATCTGGCATATTTAACATCCACAAGGATAAATGTGGCATGTTTAACATCCGTTGGATGCTGACCCTCACAGTAACTGACTAGGGTCTGCTGGTGAAGCTGTGGACAGAACGGCATAGTCGGTATACTGGCTCTATTCCAACAGATCCATTGAAAATAAGCTTTACAGGCAAAAGAAACCTTTGATGTTCATTGCCAATCCACTCCTTTGCCCCCTTTAAGCACTTTGTGTTGTGTTGCTGGCATTTTTGTCAGGCCATTAGGTAGTTATCACTGTTGCAGCTGCTCATGCAAGTTATCTTAAGAGAAACTGGTATATCCAAATAAAGATATTAAGATAACATTAAGATATATGTAAGAACTAGTACTAACTTTGCACCTCAACATCTACAAGGTCACCTTCTGACTACAGCAATAATTAAAACCAATGCACTACCACAAAAGGAACTTATTTCCTTCTGTACATGATTTTTATTATTTACATAATACAATATAGCATAAATGCTGGGTAGCATAATTATGTGCAATACATAAATATGAACTATCTGTACATGTTTGCATATCTAATAACCCAGAAGAACAAGTTAGAAGCAAAAACCTGGTAATTTAATAGTAAACTAAGATTGAACATTGTGATAAAAATCAGAAGTTCAGGAATAGAGCCTTGTGTACATACGTAACTATTTACAGATGAGAACAGGCATTATCACAACACTAGTCTAAACTGTACTTGTTTATATAAAAAATCACAAGTTTCATACATCACAAAAACCCCTTCCATTATAACACAGAAGTGATATTACCAGACAAGCAGCAGTGAAGTATACTGCCTTTTCTAGAGTTGTTATTGTACAATGCTGTAGATAATGCAGCCCATGCAATACACCCAAGAACACTACAGTCCTATACCCAAGTACAATTACAAACGATAAAGCAGCCCTCCAAGAGTGGTTCCAGCTACCACTTAAGTCTACAGCAGCCATGTTGGGTATGATTTTCCATGCAGAATGGTGCCAACTGGTACATTTAAAACTAGAAAAAATTAACTCCTAACATTCTTTTGAACTCTGAAAACGCAGAATGTAAGTAGTGTATGAATAATAAACTGCTCCAATACATCAGCAACTTAATCAGACATGTTGCTTGATAGAGCTGCTATGGTATTTCTAAAAACATGTGACTTTTTTTTTGTATATCAATCTTGCAATACTGTGGCGCACAACATTTTAATCTATGCATGGAAAAGCAGACTGTCTGCAGCCCGGTTTGTAAGGTCCTAGCAGGACATTTCCTTTGAGAACGTGTTTTCACATTTCTGAAGTTAATGTAATCTTTTCCAGAAGAGTTTTCTTCTCATACTTATCTGATTTTTCACATTTTTTTCAGTGCATTTGATAAAATTACTTTCTAACTGGAATGGTGGGCCCTTAAACGTAGCTTACATTCTGCTGGAAAACAATGGAGTGTGGAAGCTAAAATTAGGATGAGATTTTAAATGACAGAAGTAGACTGCCAATCATTTTGATATATCCTTCTCCAAAACAGGTGTATAACACCAGCCAAAAATTATATACCTCAAACACATCTTGAAAGGCAGATCTGCTACAAACATGCACATAACATACATCTGTTGGTTGGCACATCTGAACTAGAGTATGTCCTCTTGTGCATGTGTATTCCTGTGCAGGTTTCTGATCATCCAATTATATGCTGGGGAGGGCATATATATTTTCAAGGGCTGTATCTATCCAATTCTGCCTGTAACAAACACCCAAACATTCTGAAATATTATTAAGACAGACAAGACTAAAAGTAAAACTTTGAAGAACAGAGAAAAATGGCCATGCACTTGTTCTTTCACGTTTTTCTAGGATGTATTAACAACAAAACAAAAAGTCAGTCTCTTCACAAGCAGTTAATTTATATTCTCTGTATTTTTTCAGCTACCACAACTGGATTCTCTTTCCTGATTTTTGCTGCAGCTTCTGCTTTGTAGTCATATGGGCAGTTATGCTTGTCAGAATAACGGTGAAGTCCACAAAATAAATTTCCACATCTGCAGTCAAATCCTGTACATAGAAAAAGAATCAACATCACTAGGAAGCTTCACACTTAAGTTCTAAATTAACAGCTTAGTCACTACAAAGGGGTTGTGTTCAACTACTGTGACATACAGAGTAAGAAAAGTGAGGAGAGAAATAACAGTACAGCTATTTAATAAAGTTCAATCTATCAAGAGGCAACTAATCATACAGATCTGCTCAAAAATGATGAAATACTTCTCATACCTGTAAGGCCAACCTTCTTTCTGCACATGAAACATCTGTTCTTCTTTGGTTTGGGCAGTTCAGAAGCCCTCTCTTCATGCTGTGAAGTACTAGGCTGAGAAACTGATGGGCTTGGTTGAGTAACAACTGTTAAAGCAAGCAAACAAAATAAAGGTTAAATGTCTTTTTCTTAACTTCAGTAACTATTCAGTACCATGCATGTATTTAAGGACCGATTCCCCCTACTAAGACCCTCATGTTTGTTGTCTAAAATATGACACAGTCTACAAAAATGTAAATCAGGAATACAGATTTTTAGGTACTCTGTTCTTTCCTTTTGGCTCTACACATGACAATCTCACTTTCCCCACAGTTCCACCCACTAGAAAATGTAAGGCACGTCTTTAGTACACCTGTACAGGTTTTTAAGGGTGTTAAGGGCTTGGAAAGCACTCCATAAGGTTCCATGCACACATTTAATATAAAAAAAATAAAATATCATACATTTAATTAACATTCAATCTAAAACAATACAATATAAAGCTGTTGAATAGAAGGGATAGCTGTAGAGAATATAACTAATGGGAACATATTTTATAAAAAAATGGAATTCAGTAATGTGCTACTATAGCAGTACTAGGTTATTCTGCCACTACACTTGAGAATCAGATGCCCAAAACAGTTCACCAAGACAGCAGCTAACAAGCTGCTGATTTTGTGACAGATCCAAAACACAGCTAACAAAACACATAGTTCAAAAAAGCCCTCACATTTTTGACACTTTCAGTAATTTAAAGAACAAACTGCCAATTTACACTGAACGTCTGTATTTTTGTACTTTACCCAGAATTAGTGTTTAACTATGTTAATGTTCAAAATTAAGTCATTTTTCAATTGCCTTTGTCATGAACACCTTCGGACAAACTTGAGTCATGTTTATTTAAGTTCCCTGAAGGCTAAAAATTTGTCCTTTTGTGAACTTTTGTGAATCTGTTCATTTTGAAAAAATGAAACAAATTTTTTTTTTCCCAATTAAACACACTTTTTTTTTTTTTATTTTAAGTGTCTTTTCTATATCCAACCTGGAACAGGGGAAAGCTGAGAGGTGAATTTGTACAATCTTGTACAATGTACAGTCCTGAACATTCCCATCTCTTTGATAACATCTGTTGTTCTAAACCAGAACAAATTGTAAAACACATTCCAGAATAGTGTGCAACCTTTACGGACTTTTTTTGTAATCAACTTTACTCACACATATAGGATTCGTTAGCTGAGATTCTTTTGGATCAACAAGTGGCATATTTGTGAAAAACATTTTTTTTCCAAACATGAAGAAACAGTTATGTTGATTTTTTCATATCTTTACTCTTCATAACTTGCTTTTTAAAACTGCATTTGCATTACCACATTCACAGGTTTTCTAAAAGCCAACTATTACCACAAACACCTAGAAAGCCCCACAGTTCACTATACAAGCTCCCAGTCAAGACCTCATAATTTAAACAAGATTTAAAAGTGGCAAGTTCTCAGAAGTAACAAGGAACCTTCACTGCTCATTGCCAAAAATTTTCATGCAATGTAACAATGGTTGTTAATGTATTTTTATACTTTAGTTATAGAGCCTTAATGAACAAGACCATTTACTACCTTAATTTTTTGTCACCTTGCATAGGTATTTTTCTAATGTTTGTGAAATTCAGTGTCACTGCTGATTTGCCAAGTCTGAGGGATAAATAAACAACTACACTGTAGTCACTAATACCACTGGTACTTTTTGGAGTAGTTTCTTCTGCTTTTGTGTGGTTTTTTTATTGTTTTTATTTTTCTTTTTTGACAAAAACCACCTTTGTCCTGATGATTAACATTCTCCAGATGAACAGTTACATTTCTCTGAACATGTTTTTAAATCTGACAGAAAGCAGTGCTTGATATTTCAATCTGATTGAGAGTGTGACCGAAAACCAGGCTGAAACTCAGCAGTATCACCATCGGTGTAAACCTGTTGGACACCATGCAACCTGCTTGACTGCCATCAGCTATGGCCTTAAAAAAGGTAAATCACCAAACATCTCCAGGACCAACCTACTGATAAGAGCCCATGCTGTTTCTATTACATGCAAAGAAAACGCAGAAGGGGCAAATCAGCTGAGACCTAAATAAAGCCACTCACAAGGTGCACTACAAGAAAACTAGAAGAGGAGCAACTGTTACCACTGCCTAACACAGCAACAAGGAAGCAGAAGTGCAAACCGCAACTTCCCATGAATCACCAAGGCAAACAGCCTAGTAGATCGTTCTACCATGAAACAGACATTGAGAACAAATTCATCTAAGGGAAAATGTTAACCAACTACTTCCCCCTTACCATGAAGAAACTGTGGCAAATGGCAGCCCAGGAACTAGACAGTGACTCTAATAAACTGGTAGCACATTTCCTGCAAGAGCTGCTGAGCAGGATCCTCCTCCCACCACCACAACACGTTCCAAGAAGGAAAAGCCGTGCACAACATGCAGTAATGGGTACTAAAAAGTGCCAAGACAAGATGGGATGTAGTCCCTTAAATACCAATTAAAATGTTCAATTTGTTGCTCTCCATGACCAAAGGATTCTCCTATTACTTCACCCCAGTCAAGTCTAATTATGCATTTTACCATGTTAAACCTTCAGAAATGTGCTTCTAAGTAATGCCTAGGACACAGGCAAAGCTGCCTACCCTGCCCCTTACTTAAAAGATCAGGACAAAATCCATTTTCATCAGCTTGGGACTCAGATGCAAAATAATGTGAATTACACCTGTGATGACATCAGGAGCCAATTTAAATTAATCAGATACTATCCTGCCAACTGCTTGTCACAAAAGCCTTATTTTAGCACAATCCAAACCCAATTGGGCAAGTTCATTCCAGTCCTCAATACATTAATTTAAAAAATCATACAGTGTTAATATTCGGGCAAAGTGCTGTAGCTGATTGCTCTATGATCAACATGGAATTAATTAACTGAAAAATGCTGGAAGTTAGAATGTAACGGTTACTGCTAGCCATTAGACTTGCTTCCTCAGTAACAGTGCTCAGATGAAACAAACCTGTCACCATTAAACCAGGTTTAACACAGTTGCTGTTGGCATGTACCCCTTTCCATCACCATGGTCACTTCACTCCCATTGCTAGAATTACAGCTACTCCGCCTGTATGCAGAAAGGTCCTACACCAACTGGAGAACAAACTTTTTCTCAAACCCCAAACTGTTAAGCCACAGTGACTACGTGTGGCTGCCTCTCAAAATTAAAAACTACTAAGAACAGAATTTTACAGTAGCTTTCCTTATATAAACCAGTATGGCTGCTGCAAAAGAGCATCCCTACTGTAGGAATTTCCCCACTGAGATTTCACACTGGAATGAATCCAATGCTTCAGCTGAACAAAACATAAGGAAAGTAAAGAAACAGCACTTTTTAACCCTCCCCATATGAGAACTGACCAGAAAGGGATACCAGAGCAACGCTATTAAGTTTTTAAAACCTTCTCTCATAAACAAAAATGAACCAAAATAAGATCCCAACAGCTTAAACTGCATGACTTTCACATAACATATCAGCAAGGCAAAGCCTTGAAAGCATAGTTATGGCTTCACAATATGATACCTAATCATACTGCTCCCTAAACCAGAGCTATTACTTAGTTTAAAAACAACAACAAAAAAAACAACCAACCACCAAAACAAAAAATGCAACACCAAAACCACCAAACCAAAAGCCCCAAGCCTCTGGTACACATGCTGATACTAATTACATCTTGAAGCACAGACCTGGCTCATCATTCAAGAATGTAATTGTCTACAAAAGTGTAAGAAAATGCTAAAAATACGTTGTAACGGGGAACAATATAATTGTTTAAACACACATGTTTTCAAATAGTTATTTTTAGTGGTTTCTAGGTAACTTATTCTCTTTCTTGTACAAACTTTTATTTCCATTTGAATACCTGCTAAAAAAAATAAATCCAAACCACCAAACCCCATGTTTCTTAAGGAAGGGCTCCACAATGCCTCAACAACTTGGTAGATATATTGCTCTGACAGTGTAACATAAGTAGTTCATTAGGTTTTGCATTTAATTCCAGCAACTCATCACAGGAAAAACAAGCAAACAAACAAACAAGAAAAAAAAAAAAAAAGAAACAAAAAAAAACACCACAAAACCCCAAAACAAACAGACAAACAACCCCCCCCAAAAACGCAGCTATGAATTTTATTTCTAGAATGCTTTAGGTGTAGTCTGACTTCAAGAAAGTGTGTATTAAAATTCAATCCTTAAGAAGCGTAAAAGCTTACCAAAATGCTATAAAAAGTATTTTGCAAATATTTCCTGCTTAGGAATTTGAGTTTGGACATAAAAACCTTTAGGTATCTCTAACTTTTGAATCATTTAAACACAAAACTACACTGTTTAATTTAACTATGAAGTTAAAAATATGGCACATTACACATGTGAATTACAACCAGCTAGGTCATCTACATCCATCATGCCTTTCTCTTTCAAATGTCAAGATACAATTGCCTTAACATGAGATTTATTCTGAATGTGGATTCAGGCGTCAACTGCAACCTGTTTGAAAAGAAAGAAAAACACACACACACACACACACACACACACACAAAACCATCCAGAAAAGTAAGCTTGTTAAGCTTCATTATTCTCAACTTCACCTTCTCAAGTCAGCTACTTCAACAGGAGGCAAGTATAATTTTATTCTAAAGCCTGCTAGAAAATATTAAATAAATAAACCAGTTGACCACAAGTTTGTTTTTTTTTTTTTTTTAATATTTCCTACCTGTAAGGAAAATAGACAAAATGTCATTTGCTAATGAAAATCTGTCAGAAAAGACTGTGACTTCATACTGTTGAAGTTACTATAAAGAGAACAAGCTACTTTGCTTAAAGGCTACATTGTCTGTTCATGATCTGTTACTATCCGACAGATGGTTATGAAATTCAGTTGCCAGAGTCAGACAGCGCTTACAACTAGACTGGTTTCATTAGCAGCTCCATGACTGTAGCATTATCATAAGAGAATCTTAGGTGTACCTCATGAAGTTTTATTTGTTAGGATGAGGCAATATGACTTATTTACCATTGTTTCAGTTCCTCCTTGAGAGGAGAGACCAACACACATTGGATGCTGCTGGAAAAAGGAAGAGAAGAAAAACACAACTAGTCCAGACACAACAGGGACCTTTACAAGAAGTCTAGGCAAGCATCTATTGCCTGCAAGTCAGAGATCAATTTAACACTGAATACAGCCAACACTTTGCATATTTTAGATGTTCAATGCTAAGAATAGTACATAAAGACTCTATTATATGCCATCTGCAACCTCTGCCAAACTATAACACTCAAAAGGGAACTGGAGTTTTATGGCAGCTGAGGCCATCTCATGAATTTACAGGTATATACTCAGGAAGGCAGTTTTTTTCCAGACTCGTGTACATTTTCTGGTAGTTTTTACAGTGATCTTTACACACAGCCTTCACTGGTTTCAACCCGTAGTATTGTTTACAACAATACCATCAACAAGTGTCTTGTACTGCTTTTGGATTTTTCCCCCTAATCTAATCAGTAGGGTCCTCTGTGACACTACCTACCATACTGTTGACCCACAGTACCTTAAAATGGTAATATATGAATAACAGCTGAAGACTGTCCTTTACACCTGGCAAAATGACAGATTCTTACTGGCAGTTCTAGTAACAGTAATGTCACCTATTAGTTTGCCACTACCATTTTATGTATTCCTTTTTCCTGATTGCTGCATTTCATGGAGGAATATGTAACAAGGCAACATGTGCTTATGAATTTTGTAGCAAAGTCTTTCTCAGTTACATATGAAAGCCTCTTCAGATGACACTAGTTAATGTCATGCTGGTAATACTCGCAAAAATCTCCTCTCAGTCTATACATAATGAAAACCCCATATTGTATAATTGCTTTAGTTCATGCCACAGATCTTGACTTAGCATGACTTAACTGCAAATGGTAAAATACTCTGTACAAGTATTGAGCAATTAAGTGTCAGGTGTTAGAGCAGTCTTTGCCAGCAAAAATATATCTGGGTAAAAAAAAAAAAAAGAAGTAAAAGTATCACTTATACAGTTTTGAGTAGCATCTCCTGCAATTTTTATCTGACTTAAAAACTGGAAAAATGAATTTTATCTTCAGCTTGAGTGAACAGACTTCCTACTGAACATCACATTTTAGCACCTTAAGACTGTTTCAGCTCTGTTAAATAAGAAAAAAAAAGTGTGGGTATGTTTAAGTATGGAATAAGTGGTTTAAGATAGCCATTTGAACAACTTGACAGGTATTCAAACACTCACTAGTTCCAGGTAAGAAAGCAACCCCCCTCTGCCTCCTTCCAAGAAATACTTTATACTGTAATTACTACAGCTACAACCTTCCAGTACAAGAATAAAATCTTTAAATTGACAATTCACACCTAGCAATTAATGCTGCAAGTATCTTACATCCACAAAACAATACTTTGATCATAACTACTGATTACTGAATTAGTTCAAGAACCCTAAACAGCTTTTGTTAGTATTTTTAAACCACCTACTTCTTTCACCCACAGCCTTACTCCTCTGTGAAACGGAATACTAGTAACTCTACTCTCCAAAAGCAACAAGTAATTTTGACTGCTGTGAGTCAGCAGGAATTGTACTGGTAGATAACACACAGAAATCTCAACACTTCAAAACTGAACACCTTGCCCAATCAATTTTTTTTTTTATTTTTTAAAAAACAAAGGTTTGGGAGTCAAAACCCTTGCAGGTGTTGATTTTCTTTTACTAACATTGAACATGCATCTCAAAACCCTATTGTGGCACTAGTCCTTCTTCTTGATTCTGCCTGGGGAGTGCTCAAGATGCATCTTTCATCATCTTAACAGCTCCTTAAGACTGTCACCACAACAGGAGATGCCTACTTAGAATGTTACCAACTTGTCAGCTCCCACTATGTCACCAGTTGTACACAGTGCTACTCTGCAGACATACCTGGCTCAGTCTCTTTTTTCGGAGTTACTTTTTCCTCTCTTGAAATGCTCATTTCTGTCATTTGCTGAGTTACAGGCAAGGCGGCAACAGGCACATTTCTGTTTAAGTGCAGTGAAACACACAATTTCTGTTAGCTTTGAACTCATAACAAAAGCTTAAGCTGTCCATACCCATTAATAAAGTACCTCTTCAATTCCTACTGATACATGTTTGGCCTCTGCCTCTACTATCTTCGAACTGCATTTTTTACTACTCTATTTTAGCTTTTAGTTTAGAAGAAAACAGGCAAACCTGTGGCAATTATTTCTCCAGGTAAATCAAAACCATCCTTTTAAATGTAGCAGTCCAACCCCAATATTTTAATCAGCTCTTATTTACACAGACTCATGGAACCCTGGAAGGTAGACTGTCCCTTCTTCCTCCCAGAACATCGCTGCAACAGGGCAGGATTGCCACAGGCCTTCAACTTGCAGCACGCTCACACCTCATTCAAACCTCAAAATGATCTTACCTTGATTTTTCAGATGTGCTGCCAGCAGCACCTTCACATTTGTTTAAGTTAGTGTCTGCTCTCTGTACAGATGGAGAGTCTGAGGTAGGACTGTTGGAACCACTGGCTGTTCCTATATAATAAGAATTTGATAAGTTAGTTATAAACAGATTGTAAACCACGTTAGGCAAGCCATTTCGTAAAGAGCTACGAACTGTCTGGATACAATCTTCACTGCTACTGCATATTACTCATACTTTAAGACAGGCTACACTGTGAGCAACCAAAATACAAAGACTGTATAAGAGGAGGCTTAAGTGGGAAAGCAAGTCATGGCTGAATGCCAAACAGACCAGAACACATTACACAGAAATATATTTTTATCTTTAGTGTGAGTAAAGTAGTATTCTCTTTGATATTCATTGTTTTAGTACACAGGTTTCACAAGTTCCCCTGAAAAATGTTCTGGGATTCCTTACCATCTTCTGTATGTTTTATTTTAAAAGGAAAAAATAAGAAAAAAATAAAAGAAACAAAAGCCTAAACAAACATGCCCCACCACCACAAAACCAAACCAAAGTAAAAGACCCCCACCGCAAAACACATACCCTTACCCATTGGGCTGATTCTGTCACTATTCTGCTGTCGCTGAAGATGCTCTTTGTAGCAAACAGAACACATCCCATTTGTCCTGGGATTTCCGTAAAATCCACATCCCGTACTGCACAGCATGGGCCCTGGGGTCTGGTTTGTCTCCTGAGTCATCTTGATGCTGTAAATAAAACCAAGAACTGCATTAGAGGCTGGCATATCACCAAAATCAATTATAGGGTTATAGAATTAAAGCATGTGTGATCACCCTGCCCCACCAAAATGATATCAGCATCCTTAAAGAGGGTTATATGAATGCTAATATACCATTCAATACTGCAGCTGTATTGCCAAATAACATCGTTAAGAACCTTTAAGGGAAGAAAAAGTGTCATCATACTAATACTGAGAAATAATGTACTTGTTAGGCACTGAGCTGCACAACAGCATTTGACAGACAAAAAGCCCTTTATTACCAGCCTCTTAGTACTAAGAGGGACATGCTTAATAAGCAGAACCAAGTTCATATCTACTGAACAATTCTGGCAAATAACATAGTTTATTTTTATCCCAAATTCCAGCAGAAAAGCCCTACTTTTTCAATAATGTTTTTCTTTAATTATTTCGATGCTAATTCCAGTATTATTAATTCCTACTTTCACAGTACATTTGTCAAACAGAACAATAAAAATCCCTGAAGTACTGGCAGCAGCCAATACAGCAGTCTGTATCCCTATCTTTAGAAGGAGTTTCCAAAACAAGGCTCATGTGCACTGCTGAAATTGCACCTAAAATCTGATACTGAGTACTAACTGGCAACAACATGTGTACAACAGGCATTTCAACCGAGAATCTAAAGACCATTTCTGAAATAAATTTAGACTGGGTCTTACTCTTCCAAGAGAAATAAAGATAACAACTTTAAACTGTTGAATATGTTCTATTCCACAGCCTACACATAAACAAACAAACACATGGCAATTAAATCCTTTGTGCTAATAAAGTTAAGCAAGACTTGTGAACTCCCAAAGGCTCACAGATGCTAACTCTGCCATGAACTGCATAGTTTAGGAATAAAATACTTAACCTTCATTGCCAGTTAAACTTTGCAAAGCAAGGTTAGTAGAAAAAATTAACAGCAACCAAATCTTTGTTTCCCAAGGGCAATAAAACTGGAACACAGTAATGAAGAAATTGCTACAAACTGAGGACATGTAAGAATATTGCACTTGCCCTCCCAAAATATAAATTTAGTATATGGCACCTGGAAAACATTTTAGTATAATCTCTAGATTGCTGTCTTCTTATTCCAGGAAGAGTTACAGTAAGAAATATCTGTTTGTTGATTCCTGTGAGAAATCAAAAATACCAAAAGCTAATTCACTACAACTTACAGAGAAATACTTTTTAATTAAGAAGTCCCACACTGCAAGTAGTAAACTTACGTTCCATCGGTATGACAACTGCGACCAGCTGCTGCCTTTGTCTAAACTAAATTTCTGTGATCAAAGTAAACCAAGAGCAAGAGAAAGTAAATAAGCAAAATTCATCTGCTTGCCTGCTGGTGGTCACAGGACCTCATTTTCCAAGTATAAATAGCAGTAGTATAAATACTTACGTTATTTATACTACACTATTAATGCCTTTGTAACACCTTCCAGGTACAGTTTCCTTTCAGGACTACAAAGCAGCTTCACACTTATTTTTAAACAGTTTTACAGCCATGAACACACCAGCCAAAGGAGTCAGAAGAAACCACAACCCACCTAGAGAAACGTAAAACTCTTGTCATCTACATTCTAAACCCATATCAATATAAGTAACGACTGTCCTTCGGCCCTAACCCTAACCCGCTGATCTGCTCCGCTCCCAAACGAGCGTGCTGCGAGCACGTTTCACCACCATCTAAACCTAGCTCTAAGTGCTAACGCTGGTGTTAACCTACTACAAGCCCGAGTCTCCGCAGCTCCTCTGTCAGCAGCACACACATCACCTGCTTGAAGCGCACGCCCCTGACCGAGCCACCCACCGCCGCCACCACTTCAGCTGCCGTGCGCTCACCCAGGCCGACCCCAAGCCACAGCCCTTCGGTACCGGCCCGACCCCTCCCCGCGTCACATGGGCGTGCGCCGGCGCTTCCGTCTGTCAAGCGTGACGTGACATGGCGCGAAGCCCCGCCGCCCAGCTGAAATCAGCTCCTATTTATAGCCCCGGCGGGAGGCGGCGGAATCCCGTTACTGCCCTTCCCTCCCGGGGCAGCGGGCAGAACGGGTGCTGAAAGGAACCCGGAAAACGCAGGTTCACTCGCCGTCACCTCCACCACACACCTCAACCCCCCACGGAAGGCGGTCGGGGGCCGCCACCAGGGCCCTGCGGGTGGCCACAGCCAGGGCCGGGCGGTTGAACCCGGCCACTCCTCCCAAAGGGAGGAAGCAACGACAGTAACATGGGAAAGGTCTCGTTCCACTAGCAAGTTCTCGTCTCATGGGCCGCTCCCGCTCCCTCCTAGTACGTCAGTCCCCTGCTCGAGGGGTGCTCAAGCCACTCGTCCGCACCGTTACCAGCGAAACTCGGAGAGCAATGGGTTTTGTATAAAACCTCGCTTCCCCAGGCGAGGCTGGGCCGCCCTAGCGGCGGAGGGCAAAGACCCCGGCCCTATCCCGCCAGGCCGTCCCGTCTTTCAATGCAAGACCTCGACAGCGTGCACCAAAAGCAACCACAAAACCCGGGAGCCGCTCCACCGACCGGCTTGCTGACCTACATACTTATTTCCCTCCACATCGTCCTCTCAAAGAAGCGCCACGATTAAACAAGAGAAACAGAAACAAAACAAAAGGCGGCGTGTGCGTGTCACCGAGGCTGCCCGGGGCGCTTGCCCCAGCCCGGCCGCGCTCGGGGGAAGCGTGATGGAGAAAACGATACAGTGTAGGCAGACCAACACCGGGCGCTTCCCGAGGAGAGTGAAGCCCGGCTGGGCGAGTCAGACAAAAGCGGAGCAGCTGCCAAGCGCCCGCAGCGCGGTACGTCTTAATTGCCACCCAACTCCTCCGCCTCCTCCGCCTCGGCCACCGGAACACAAAAGAGTCGGAGAATGCTAGACTGAGAAGCAGTCACGGCGGGTGGGGGTGCCCAGCCAGGGTGGCGGGGCTGGGCCGGGCCGCTCCTCGTAAACCCCTGAGTCACGCCCGGCCCCTATGCCACCGGGCCCCGCGCTGCTGCCGGCCCCCACGGCCACGCCGTCGCCGGCTACGGAAACCTTACTGTCTCGCCGCCGGCGCTGCCCCGCACCATTCCGAGTCCTCGTTCTCAAAGGGGGCCGAGCGAGACAAGGCCGCCAGGAGATTCAGAGGCGGCGGGGCGGCCCGAGGGGCGGCCCCTGTACCCCTCACTGCCGTGAGCGCCCTGAGCATACCAGCCCAGCCACCCACCCCCAGCTCACCTCTTCCCGGCGGGGGCCAGAAACCCCGCTGCGGGTATCGGAAAAGGCGAAGTGGGTGTCTCCAGGCGGCGGGCAGCAGTGCAGGGGGTCGCGGAGCTGGCGGCACCGCCGCCACCACTTCCCTCCTTTGTTCCCGAAGCAGCAGCTGCGGCCGCGTCGGCAGCGGCGGCGCGAGGGGAGGCGAAGCGAGACGCGCCGAGCGCCGGGGGCGGGCGGCGGGAAGGCGCGGGAGGAAGGCGGGGCACTGGGGTAGGAGGAGCTGGAGGAAATCTTGACTGCCCGCCTGCCCCACCTCCTGATCCCCCTGGCCTCCACGTGCCTCCGGGGCATGCGCGCTGGCCGCCCGGGACCGGTGATGAGCCGCGGGGGGCGGGGAGAATACGCGCGCGCAGCTTGTCGTGGTGCTGCCGCCTTCCGCGGGACCGGGGAGGTGCTGTGCCGGGTGGCGTCGCAGTCCTACTCCTGTCCCGGATGGGAGGGAGCGAGCCAGACGTGTACAGAACGGCCCGGTGCGG